TCCGTCTAAGATCAACGTCTTCATGTGGATCGTCTATCTTAAGAAGATCCTTACTCTCGGTAATCTGCAGAAGAGGGGGTGGGTTCTTGCGAACAGATGCGTCTTGTGCTACAAAGCGGAAGAATCCATTGATCACTTGTTTGTCGAGTGTGAATTTACTAAAGGCATTTGGAATGAGCTAAAGAAGGTCTGCACTAGCGTTCAACTTCCTTCTAGAGACCTTGGCATCACAATTCGCAGGTGGAACAATGAAGGGCCTACTGATTTAAGTGGGTGGATTGCTTTCTGCGCCCTCCATTCGGTTTGCTAGCAGGTTTGGTTTGAATGGAATCGTGCTATCTTTAATGATTGTAGCCTCCCAGTCATTTCTGTTTACCTTAAAGCAATTCGTGCGGTAATTGAGTGGTTAATTGTGCATGGCAAAATCAGCAGAGAGCAAGGTAGATGTTGGCTGCGACAATAGCTGCATACTTGTGTTAGGTGGATGGGGGCTGTAATTTTAGACCTTTTGGCTGTGGGTTTCAGGTTGCTTTCTTGTGATTGCTTGTGAACCTCTTCTTGTTTTGTTTGGTTCCAGCCTTCTACGTTTGACAGGGTTCTTTTCTTTTGGTGTGGGTGTGCAGGGTCTTCTCGGTTAGCCTACCCCCCCCCCCCCCCTTGTTCTTTTTGTTCTTTGGGTTTTTTTTACTCAGCACGTCTTGTGCTGTGCTGGTGTTTCCTTTTGTTTCTTGTACAGACTCTTTCTTTTCTTCTGTTTTAATGCAATCATCACCATTATAAAAAAAAATTAGTAGACGGTGATTCGGAGGTGGTCGTCAACCAGATCTGGCAAGGTGTTCTAGAAGATTCCTTTGGAGGTCCGGTGTCCTGAGAGTGTCGTTAGATCCTAGACTCTTTGTCATTTTGTATAGAGTTTCGGGCGGTTCCCAAGCCGCCAACAGTGCTGCTCATAGAGTGGCGCTTAAAACACTACTATTGTCTCTCATAGAATTAGTCTTTCGATTTTTTTGGGTGGCTTCACTAGGATTTTGCTTGTAGGGAATTCCTGGATAGTTTTGTTTGTATAGCTCTTGTTCTCTCTTAATATTACTCGAAAATAAAAAGAGCTATGTTTGGTATAAAAAAATACTAATCAACTAGTCTGCATGAATAAACTACCATTTAGAAAAACCCTAGCTCTGTGTATCTCGGAGCAGCGCTCACCTCGCGGAAATCCATCGGAGAAGCTTGCAATGGCTACGCCAGCGCCGGGGGGGCCTCCTCCGGCCGCCGGCCATGGTGATCAGAGCGCTGGAACCCGGAGACCATCATCTGCAACGTCCTTGCCAAACGGAAAGAGTGCGAGCGAGACTCAACAGCTGAAGAAGCGGTCCAAGCCGTTGATGGCGAACCCGTTGTTTGATGAAACTGCTATGAACGTTGACACTGTCCCTCCTCAAACACAGGAGGAAGATGGATATGCAAAGAAGATGGAAACGGCATGGTCCAACGGCACCAAGAACCTCTTTAATGATCTGCATAACCATGACGCATGGTACGTGGCGGAATCGGACTCTGAAGATGTTGCGACAGCCATGCGAGAGGATGATTTGGATGACAAAGTTCCCAAGGATGATGATCCTCGCTGTCCTACCATCCCCTTCAAAGCAATGGAGAAGCAACGCTGGAGACGTGAGTGGCGATCAGCCCTCATAGTCAAAGTTCTGGGTTGCTCCTTCCCATTCCTGGTGATCGCCAAACGCCTGCAAACCATTTGGGCCAAATGTGGGACGCTTCAAATCTCTAGCCTTACTTATGGCTTCTACGTTGTATGTTTCACGAGCCAGTTTGACTACGAACAAGCGGTTGCGGGGGGTTCTTGGAGAATTAGTGATTACTATCTCACTATTCGTCCATGGTGGCGAAATTGCAACCCTAAGCTAGCGAAAGTGGCATTGACCATGGTGTGTGCAAAGATTCCTGGCCTACCCCGTGAGTTCATTAACAGGGAAGTCGTGGAACGGATTGCTTCTTATATTGAACGGTGCATTAAAGTGGATCGGGCTACACAAAATGGCGACCGTGGGTAGTATGCTCGTGTCTGTGTGGAGGTAGATTTGAAAAAACCGCTACTCTCGCAGTATAAGATAGAAGGGATCACCTACTACATTGAGTTCGAGGGATTACTTAATATATGCACGGAATGTGGGCGCTATGGACATTCTAAGAATGTGTGCCCCTCGTTGTTCCATCCTCCTCATGAGGTACCGGAAAAGCCCCCTAGCTCCCCACACTCGGAGGCTGGTCCTGCACCCATCTATGGCGACTGGATGATGGCTAAGCCTAGGAAGAGGAATAGTAAAAAGCAATCCCTAGGGACCCAGATCGAGCGATCAGTTGGCGCGAGAAATGGGTCTCATTTTCGGGCCCTTGATTCGGAAGAGGCGGAAACAGTTATAGTGGAGAACGTTGAGGTACCAGCTGAGGCTGAGCCGGAAGTGGTTATGGGTGACAAGGCCCTGGATATGGCAGTTGACACCTCGTCAATGGAAGTGTAACCATTGAGTGAGGTGGTGCCAACTCAGGTTACGGAGGCGCCGGTACACAGTGGAGTCGAGATGGGTAGCGAGAAGCGAACTACAACTGAAGCAGCGTCCCCAGCTACGGTGATGGAGAGGGCTACCCTTTTAAAGGAACCCATAGCTCCACAACCAGGAGCTCCGAGGCAACAGTCCGCTTTGACCTCACGCCCAACTAAGGGCCACCTCCCGAAGAAGGGGTTGAATCATCAACCTGCTCCCCTGGCAAAGAATGGCAAGGGTGGTCAACCAGCAATCAATACTGGTCAGCCCCCGGGGCCGCACAACAACAAGCAAACAAATGGTGGAAAGAGTGCCAATAAGGCGAGTTCTGAAAGGAGGGAGCCTGGACAAACCTCCAAGACCCTCTCCTTGTCTTAGTCGACTTGGTCGACTGTCAGGGAAGTATCCCTTCTGGCTACGTGTTATCTCCTTTATTTTAATTATATGTTAAACATTCTAGTTTGGAACTGCCAGGGGCAGGTGGTGATCTTTTTCTTGAGTATTTATCTTCTTTTGTAATGAATAACAGGCCAGACATGGTTGTTGTCGTGGAACCGCAAATTAGTGGAGAGAGCTCGCTTGGTTATCTCTCGTACGGGTTTTGATGGTATCCTGAAGGTCGATGAAGTGGGCTTCTCTGGCGGCATATGGGTGCTTTGGCAGGAACATGAGCTATGTGTCACGGAACTCTGTGCTTGGAGCCAGATGATCCACATGCGATGTGCTCGGCGGAGCTCTATGAGTACAGAAGTGTTGGTGTCAGCAGTGTATGGGAGCCCTAATGAAGCCTATCGTACGGAATTATGGGAGGAGATTTGTCGGCTAGCAGACCAGATCTCCCTCACGTGGTGTTTGGTCGGAGATTTTAACGGCATCATGGTACTTAGAGACCGGACCGGGGGCTCAGCTTATAACGAGATGCGCTCACGACCGTTCCAGGAATGTGTCAACAATGCTCGCCTTATGGAGGTGAAATTTTTCGAGCCTCGCTATACCTGGAGGCGAGGCAACCTACACCAACGTCTTGACTAGGCCCTGATGAACAGTCATTGGGTTTTGCATTACCCACAAACTATGGTTAGCCACCTCGAGAGAATCGGATCCGATCATCGCCCCATACTTCTCCAAGGTACCAAGGAGCCGAGGACAGTGGGCGAGAAACCGTTTATCCGAGCTGCTGCCAACGCTTACAGAGGAGCTGAGGAAGTGGAATAGAGAAGTGTTTGGTCACATTATCCATCGGAAAGGACGGTTGGCTAGGCGGCTATGACGGATAGAGGAACGAAATGAAGCTGGTGCATCTGCTGCGGATTACAAGGAGGAAGAGGATACTCGTGTAGAGCTGGAGAAGACACTTTGGGAAGAACACCTTTTGATGGCTCCAGAAGTCGCGCAGTGATTGGCTGGTACGAGCCGATAGAAATACGAGGTATTTCCATCTAGCTACCCTAAAACAGCGACGGTTCAACAGGATTAAGGGGCTGCGGGATGAAGCTGGGCAGTGGGTCGAAGACGAGGCGGTTCTACAGCAACATGCTCGAGCCTTTTATTGCATGTTGTTCACGTAGGAAGAGGGTGGTTCCCCTCGTCTCCCAGCAGCCTTTGAAGTGATCAACGAGGCTTTCCACCAAACTTTAAGCAGCAGTTGTCAAGGGATGAAATATGGATGGCGTTGAAGGAAATGGGGTGGGGGGGGGGGCTTAAGGCACTGGGAAAGGATGGATACCCGTCGATTTTCTACAAGAGATGCTGGGGGGGCAATGGCTGATCAATTCGTAAAATATGTTAGCTCCTGTTTTCTGAACCCAACTCAAATTGCTACCGACAATGACACTCTGCTGGTTCTTATCCCGAAGAAAGAAAGTCCTGAGTCGATTACGCAGTTCAGACCGATTGGAATCTGCAACGTAGTCTATAAGACTCTTGCGAAGTGTTTGGCCAATCGGGTGAAGCCAATGATGAAGCAGCTACTACACGAAACCCAGACTAGTTTTGTTCTAAGCCGCCACATCACAGATAACATCATCATCCTCCAGGAATTCGTTCACTTGATGGGTCTTAAGAGAGGTAAACGTGGCCAAATGGTGATCAAGGTGGACCTGGCCAAAGCGTATGATCGCCTAAGCTGGGTCTTTCTCCAAGAAACACTTGAGGTAGCGGGCTTTCCCAGGGAGTTTATTAACGTAATTATGCATTGTGTAACGACGGCTTCGATGCAAGTTTTATGGAATGGGGTGCAAACCGATCCAATCCTCCCATCTCGTGGACTCCGACAGGGGTTCCCCCTATCACCTTATCTGTTCACACTATGCATGGAGAGGCTTAGTCATGTGATCGAGGAGACAGTAAATGGAGGGAGATGGAAGCCGATTAAGACCTCACCAACAAGGCAGGACCATCCTGGATTGCTTGGATAGATTTTGTCTGGCATTGGGAGAAATGGTGAGCAAAGACAAGTCGGTGGTTTACTTCTCGGGTAACACGAACCGGACTACCTCTGGGGATATCATTCGCATTCTGGAGATCCCGGCGACGCAGGACCTGGGGCGGTACCTTGGAGTTCCGGTGCTGCACACGAGAGTTACCAGAGAGACTTATAGGTACATTCTGGACAGGCTAGACAAAAAACTAGCAGGTTGGAGGGCAGACTCCATGTCCTTTGAGGGACGGGTGACACTAGCGACATCATTGCTCAATACTTTGCCAACATACACCATGCAGACGACTCTCCTTCCTCGGTCGATCTGTGATCAGATTGACATGAGGATCCGTCGCTTCATTTGGGGGTCTACCGCGGACAAACGGAAGGTGCATTTGGTTCATTAGGAACAAGTTTGTCAACCTAAGGCAGAGGGAGGTTTGGGTCTCAGAAAAGCTCATGAACTAAATCTCTCTTTTCTTGCTAAATTAGCCTGGTTATTTATTAGCAATCCAGATGATCTTTGGGTTAAGGTGTTACAGGCTAAATATTTCAAAACTGCCGGCGGCGTGACAACTGCAAAATTGGCGAACAGATGCTCTAATCTTTGGCGTGGAATCAAGAGAGCTTGGCTGATAATGTCCGAAGGAATGGCCATGAGTGTGAAAGATGGGAGAAGCACGAGTTTCTGGACGGATCGTTGGATTGACCCGACAGTTATCTTACTTGATCATGTTCGAGTGCATGCCCCTGAGATTGATCCCACGCTCCCTGTGGCAGCTTTCCTTGATGAAAATGGTAAGTGGGATGAAGCTCTCATCAACTCGTTCTTACCGATGGAAGTTGCTGTGCAGGTTATAGGGAGCCACCCGCCGAGAGTAGATGGAGGAGAGGACGTCGCATACTGGGGGCCAGAAGCAAACGGGCGCTTCCGGATCAAGTCGGCCTCTGTCATTGCGTGTGGCAGACCAATGCTACTCAGGTGCTGGATTGGAAGAAAATCTGGCGATGGAGAGGCCCAGCCCGGATGACTTATTTCCTGTGGCTAGCAGCGAGAAAGAGACTGCTTACCAATGAAGAACGTCACCGACGACACATCTCCACCACTCGCAGCTGCACGTACTGTAATGCTGCCCCTGAGACAGTCCTGCATGTGTTGCGGGACTGCAATTTTCCCAAGTGTATATGGATGCAGGTTATCAAGCTTTCTGACCATCAACGATTCTTTGAAGTACCCTTACAGGATTGGCTACTGAAGAACTTGCATCACCCGGACTACGATCTGAGTTTCGGGCTCATTTGCTTGTCACTCTGGAAGACGAGGAACGATCGGGTCTTCAGCAACAAAACTGTCACTACTGAGGCCTTTCTACAGCGTATCCGAGCCTGGATTAATGTCGTGAGGACGGCTCTGGATAAGGATGGGCTCGTCCATATGCCCACCCTGCCCACAAGAACGGAGGCTGAGATCTCTTGGAAACCGCCACCTCCTGAGTGGGTCACTCTCAACTCAGACGGTTCCGTACTCCATGATACAGGCCAAGCTGCTGCTGGTGGCCTGCTCAGAGATCACACAAGACGCTGCTTAGCTGCGTTCGCTTGCAACCTGGGATATTGCTCCATCACCCAGGCCGAGTTGAGAGGTGCTGTAGAAGGGCTTCAATTGGCATGGACCCTCGGCTACCGACGTGTTCGCGTTGAACTGGATTCGTGCTGCGCAATCCTTTTGCTTGAGAAACGTACCGGAGACACTTACCACCACACTGCTCTAGTGGATTGGTTTCAGGAGCTTCAGAGCCGAGGGTGGGAAGTTTCCATCTCCCATATCTATCGAGAGGCCAACAAATGTGCTGACGGTTTGGCTAGTTATGGCCATTCCCTACCTCCGGGCGTGCATGCTGTTTCTTGTTCAGTTCCCTTCTTGTACCATTTTCTTATGTATGACGGTCAGGGGCTCTCTGAACCCCGTTTGGTGTTGAATGAAAGCTGAGATGTACTGCATCCATTAAAAAAAAATACTAATCAACTTATAAGTGTCACTTTTGTTACGCAATAGACAACTGTTTCCTAAATATAAAGTGACTAAGAAAACACTCAAAACCATATATAAGCTTCAGAATAAGCTACACCAGCCTGCGATTTAGGCGCCATTGCCAGTTTGCCACGAGCACATTTTTAAGCTTCGTTTGGTTATTTTATGGAAATGGCTATGTGGTAGTGGTAGAACAAAATACTAAACGAATAACAAAATTATGAGAGTAGAGCTTGATACCATAAAAACATGGATTTCCAATCATAATAAATCTAACAAAAGGGAAATATACAGCAAAAACCCATGTTTTCATCTGTTCTTCCTTCCCCCAAGACCGCCCTGAATCCTACTGCAGTCTGCACTTGTAGAATGTACACCCCCCACACAAACAAAAAACACTCATTGACATGTCTCATCCAATCCATAGTCACAACAAAGGTCTACCATAGCGCTGGAAATCTCATACGGGCTTCTCACCAGGCAAGTAAGAAGGAGACCCACCTTCAATTTGGTTCTTTTTCCTATGGAAGATCCCACTGAGATTGGACACCATTACCTTCTTCGATACAGATGTCTTGCCCTTTTCCAACTTCCGGACCTCCATCACCTTTTGTGGTGGCAATGTGTTCTGCTTCTGCATGACCGGTTTTGGTGGCATCCTGTGATGAAAAGGGGATGCTGCTTCAGAAGCCACCTGTGTTTCTGCCAGAATACGAGAAGCAGTTTCGGCCGCCTTCTTCTGATCCCTTTCCCGCCACCTTCTCAGCTCACCCTCCACTGCCCTTTTAGCTGCTTCAGCCATCTCAGCCTTCTTCAATGCCTCCTGGGTTGCAGCATTCATATCCGCAATCTCCTTCTGCATTGCCTCTACTCTTTTCAGTGCTTCATTCTCGCTAGCCTTAACAGCCTCCACTTGAGCCACAGCTGCTGCCACTTTCATTTCAGCCAATTCGTCCGACTCCTTCACCTTTCGTCTCAAAGCCTCGAACTCATCCCTCGAGAGTGTGATATTGGCACCTGACTCGGATGTCGACGCACGTGCAGCATTAGTTCTCTCTGAAAGTGCCTTGATCTGATCAAGAGCCCTTACCTCTGCTGTCTTGGCTTCTTCAGCTTCTTCCAGGGCAATTTTCAGCTTCTTGTCGGCTTCTTCTAGTTCAACCCGTGTTGCTTCAGCTTCCTGCTTCAACTCCTCAGCTTTGTTCTTCATCTCTTCAGCTTCACGATGTGCATTCTCAGATTCCACTGATAATTGGTGGAGACTTGTGATCATTTCTTCAGAAGCACCTCTTGCCTTGGACTCCTCTGCAATGGCTGCTTCAAGCTCCAACTTACATTTCCGTAGCTTGACATGCAAGTTTCCAGCAATAGATTCTGTTTCAGCCTCTTTCTCCTTGAGTTCCAGATGTTCCTTCTTCACATTCTCCAGCTCAAGCTTTAGCGATTCAACTAAACTTCTCAAAGAGCTTTCTTCTTCCACTACTTTCTGCAGTGACTCCTTAGCACCATCTAACTCTGAAGTGACGCTTTTAACAGAATCCAAATCTGAAGCCTTTGCACGGTCCATCTGCACTCTCAAAGTACTTATCTCATTCATTGTTTCTGTCAGTTGCTTTTCGAGATTCTGTGCAAGTTCTGGATCAAAGCCATTCTTCAATGCAATAAGCTTGTTCCTAGACTCTTCCAGGGTAGCCTTGTATGACTGCTTCTGAAGGTCCTTTTCAGAAAATATTTTGGTCTGTTCTTCATGGGACTGAAGAGATGCAAGCTTGACTTGCCCAATCGATTCTTGCATTGATGAGATCTCGTTAGAGAGTTCACTAACTTTTTCAACGTTTACTTTGGCTGAATGTTGGGCTTCAGCAGTTTGTTTAATAGCAGCAACCTTTGCCTCCAAGGATGCATCACACTGCTGCTGTAGTTTCCTTAGTTCTTGTTTCGCAACATCGAGCTCTGAAAATACAGTTAAATACTGTTCCCTTGCAGCCTCTAAATCCTGCAGCCTAGCAGCATCAGTTGGCTGGTCGCCACTACTATTTGCTTCTTCAATTTTCTTCACTTTATTTTTGGCAGTCTCTGTGGCTCTTAGTGCCAACTCTTTTGCTTCGTTGACAGTTTTGAGTTTTTGGGTCAGATCATCAACTGTTCTTCTAGCTCTTTCAAGCTCAGTTAATGCTTGAGCCTTGGTTGTTTCAGCACTGTTTAGCTGATCCTTTAACTTGTTCAACTCCTTCTGGGCTACATGAAGCTGTGTATCCTTTGCATAAACTCGCTGCAGTAAGGTAAGATACAAAATGTAAGGGTTTAACTTGGTTATCAATATCCACATTTCTAGATAATCACTCAAGAAGTCAAAGTGGATCCTAGCTTTGGGCGGTTATTAATTTCAAGATGAAATCATAAAACACAGAAAATGACAAACAACTCCCGTCCAGTTTGCTATGTTTTAGACTAATATTTTACAAGTAATAACACATCAGAGAATCCTCGCGGCAACCATCTAATTCAATCCCACTCAGCAATGAACGAAATTTACAAATGGTAAACAAATAACCAATTATCAACCATGGATACCTCTGCAGAATGTGGCTTTGGCTTCTTTATGGCTGGCTTTTCTCCGGAGAAAGCACCCTCGCCGAATAGGGTGACAGCATCTTTGACAGATTGAAAGGGCGCCCTCGTGTCAATTTCACCCACCACCGCTTTAGGGGAGTCGGTGGTAACCCCATGCTGTTCCTTTGCAACCATGGATGTTGTTCCTTTTCCCTCTTTTGTTATATCTATTTTGTTGACAAAAAACAACCTGGTCGAAACAAGCAGGATAGCATAATCAAACTCAAGGAACATATAATGGAAAAGCTTAGGCAAACAAAAACAATAAACATGCCTCTGAAGACCAACCATTCTCAACACATGAACACAATACATTCGGACTTCAGTTCAGTGCACGTCAATATAAACTAGAATTGAAGGAGTTGATGTCTTATCTGATATTAGTCATTAGATAAAGCAATCAGAAGAAGAACGTAAAAAATTCAGTCTATAACCAAGCAGGCAAATTGACATGCCAAAGTTGCCAGAGTCATCAATGGCAGTATTTGTGCCTTGCAGGCTCCATAAACTTTTTTCCTGATTGCTGCATACTTGTAAAGCTTCTGGTTGTTTAAAGGACACACCATAAGAAAACAATTACATAACAAAATAAAAGACCCGACAGAAATCTCCAATTGCAACTGTCTCCATTGGCAATCACCTCACTAGAAGAGCTGTGCTCTTCCACCATCAAGCAATTTGACATCTCGATTCAGTCCCACTTTTCAACAAGAATAAATGATTACCAGTGCAACGTAGACCTATGTGCAAACCAGGCAAGGACCAAAAGCTATCACCTAACTGTTTCTGCATACTGACTACCAATAAACAATACCAAACCGGTTCAACAAACATCCCAACCTTGATAACTACTCCACCACATTAGAACTCAGCCGGAACAAGAGACTAGGAAGAGTAACCAGCTCTTCCAATCTTTTTGTGCTCACCCTTCCAAGCCTTCCATCATTTTCAACCAGCTCGTCTATACCAGCTTAAACTCAATACGGATAGTACAAGAGCCAAAATAACACCAAAAAGCTTGAGCACCAAACTCTGATACTTCATTTCGCACTCTCCTATAGGCCAATTGCTGTTCTGCTTCTTTCCCATGCAAACAATCTCGTAACTAATCCAGGACTTCAGAACCAAAATCAGGGACAGAAACACAGGGGAAAATCGAACTCCACCACATCATATAAATCATTAATCGACAACCTTTAAAATAATCCGCGCTTGAATAATTTTGAACTTGGTATAAGGTCAAAACACCACAGGACAAACAAAACAATCAATACCGGGCAAGAGCACGAATGGGGTAATAAGAAAACTTGAAACTGGAACAAAAACGAGAAGCTAGACAGAAGAAGAGGAGAATCAAAGCACCTGGTCGGCCAAGAGAACCCTAATCAAGCCCTCTGCGGCGAGAAGAAAAGGTCAAAACAATCTCGAACGTGGTATTTCCAACAACTCCCAGAACAAAAACAACCCGGCCGAAGAGCGACTCTCAAATCGTCCGCCTCCCTAGTCCAGAAACCTCGTCGACGGAAACCGCCAAAAACCCTTTTGATCTCTCGACGCGGCCAGCAAAACCCACCAAGCAAACAAAAAAAATCCGATGGCTTTACTTGATCCCTCCCTCGCGGAAGAAGAAAATGCAGGAACTTTCGGGGCAAAAGGAAACTCTGGGGTCCGGAATCCAAATTAGAAAAAAAAAAAGGGGGAATATTTCTTTCCTTTTGGGTGTCGAGGCGGCAACTATTGCAGTGTAAAGAACAAAATTATTATGGCGAAGGAGAGAGGGAGAAGGACAGAGAGTGTTTGAAATGTGGAAGGAAAAGGGGAGGGTTTGGTTGAGGCGCAATTTTCTTTCTTTTCCCCCTCTATTATTGTATGAACGAAAAGGCAGAGGCAAGCAGCCGTGTATAGTAGTCGATCAGTGTTGGACGGGAAAGGGGCAGTGAAGGGAGAGAGAGACGACGACAAGGGGGCGGGACGCCCGGCGGAGAGGAAGTCTGAAAATGGGGCGACGAGAGCGAAAGAGAGCGAAACACGCTTCTGCTTTTTGCTTTTTTTATAAAATATAAAAAAAAATTTACCCAGGTCGTATGCTGTAATAACTAATAAGGGGCAGTTCGGGCAGTTTGGAAAATAGAAATGGGGAGGTGGATTGCCGTGATTGGTTGGCACAGCAAGCAGACTTTGTTTTCTTTTGATCTTTTCCTTTTTCTATTCTGTTTAGAGAGGGAGAGAGCGGTGGGCATTTGCCAGGTCAGCACTGAAATGTTTGCTTTTTCAAAGAGGTTGGATGGGTTGAGAGAACGAGAGCGGATCCCATGACTAGGGTTGGCAACGGGGCGGATCGGGGACGGGTAGCTAGTTCCCGTTACCCATCCGTCAAGGCGGACGGATTTCCCCGTCCCCGTCCCCGTCCCTTTGTCGGGGCGCGTTTGGTTTCCGTCACCGTCCCCAGACGGATTCGGGTAAACCACGGATCACCACGGATCCTGAGTAAAATACAAAAAAAAAGGAAAAAACTAATAAAAAATCCTTGAAATTCAAACTTCAAAGTACCTTGATGTTCAAGGCACATAAATTCAAAACACAAAAGAGAAGATCTGGGGCTGTAACCCTCCCACCACCCAACACCCAGATCTTCATTGTTCAAACAATGAAACAAAAGTGATAGGTTGCAGCAACCAAACAAGCTGCTGCAACCAAAACCCACCACCCAAAACCCATATAACATGTTCTTCACTACACTAGTGTTCAAGTTCAAAACTCAAAAGGAAGAGATAAAAAAACAAAGGCAGACAGCCCCAATAACATCATCCATAAATCGAACTAAAACCTATACTAATAGCACACACGAGTTCCTTTGATCTTTTCTTCCAAAAAGTAAGCAACACTATGCTGCTGGAAACCAACTCAACACTCAACAGCAGCATTCATCCTTGAAAAATGAAAAGCAATCATTGCAAGAAACAGAGTAGCAACCACAGTTAGATAAGTGAAAGTCACGTTTAAATTGAACAAGTTAAAAGGCTCAAGTCTAGCTCAATACCTTGAACCTTTCATTGCATTGAACAAATCAGTCGTCTAGGGATATTAGATGCTTCCTCATCACAAGTCCCCCCTGAACTGTAAGAATAAAAAATTACAGTTAGAGATTGAAACTATCAAACTAAGTACCAATCTAAATTGAACTAATTACCAGCTTCGTCTTGATCTTCAGTACTGGAATCTGAAATTGCTAGAGAAGAGAACACCCCTTCCATTGCCTCTACAGCAGCCTTCGATGATTCTGCAGATTGAAGAAAACAATGAAAAAGATAATTAATATTCAATCAAGTTAACATTTTAATGAAAAAGACAAGTAATTGCAGATTACCTTGTTGCATTTCCTCCATAATCCAACTTCTGGTACACATCATTGCCTCTATTGTATCATAGTGCAATCTACTCCGATGAGGGTCTATTAACCTCCCACCAGAGCTAAAAGCAGATTCAGAAGCCACTGATGTAATTGGTATGGCCAAGAAATCCCTTGCAATTGCTTGCAAAGTGGGGTACTTAAGGCCATTCAGTTTCCACCACATCAGTATATCAAAGTCAGGAGACCTTTTAGGAATCAGTTCCTCAAGAAGATAGTGATCCAGTTCAGTATGGACCAGAGTTGCTTTGCTTTTTTTCCTCCGACTCACAAACAGTTCAAAATCAAGATCATCATTTGCAGGAGTAGAAGAACTATCATAAGCAGTTGAAGAACCAGAATTGTTCCTCTCAGACTTGGTTTGGTAATCAAGCACCAAACCACAAATACATTGCTTAATCTTATCAGCCACCAAGTCAGTATTAGTACTGCCAAACTTAGCAGCATAATACTCAATCACATGCAACTTGTATCTAGGATCAAGAACCACTGACACAGCGAGAACCAAGTGTATATCATCCCAATACTTAGAAAATTTCTCCCACATACTCTCAGCCATAGCCGAGATAAGAGAATTGGTATCAGCACACCATTCCAACAATTTCAGTCTCAGATCACAAACCTTGGGGAAAAACAAATTAGCAGTGGGATACTTGCTGCCAGAAAACAGCTTTGTGATCTCACTGAAAATTTCTAGCTTATCAATGACCATAGCAGCAAACTCCCAGTGCATACTAGTAGGGACAGTGGTGTATTGACTATCCCACTGCCTCAAACGAGAGAAAACATCTCTATACACAATGGCTGTAGATAGCATATCATAGGTGGAGTTCCACCTAGTTGGACAATCAAGCACAAGTTGCTTCTCACAAGGCACTTTAAGCTGCTTAGCAGTTTCAAAGAAGGTTTGTACCCTCTTAGGAGTGGACTTCCAGTACACAACACTATCTCTAACCAATTCAATGCCATCTTTGATGACTTCCAACCCTTCTTTCACAATGAGATTCAAAACATGAGCAGAACATCTCATTTGAACCAGCACACCATCCAACAACAGATCATCAATAGCAAGTTTAGTTTTCATATGAGTAATCATGGCATCATTGGTGGTACAGTTATCCAAGGTAATCGAGGACAACTTTCTATCAAGATTCCAACCAAGCAAACACTTGAACAACCTATCTCCCAACCTCTTACTAGTATGAGGGGCAGGGACATAGATGAAACTCAACATCATGTTTTTAAGTTTCCAAGAATTGTCAATAAAATGACCAGTAACCGCCATATACCCCATCTTTTGGTTAGTTGCAGTCCACATATCAGTTGTGACTGCAACTCTACCAATATTACCATCTAAAACCTTCTGAAGCTTTGCCATCTCAGCCCCATATAAAGCAAATATGTCCCTCTTCACTGTATTTCTACAAGGGACAGTGAACTGGGGTTGCAAAGAACAACAGAAACGTTTAAACCCCACATGTTCAACAATGTTCAGGGGATACTCATGCACCATAATCATAGAGCACAATTCCTTCCTAGACACATCAGAATTGAATTGAGTAGCAGATAGGAGGGGTTTTCCAGTTGGTTTATAATCAGGACCAAGAACTCTCTGCCTACCATCATGTATCTTTCTTTGGGTGCAAGTTTTGTAATGGTTCCTCAAGTGGGAGGTTCCATTACTAGTATCACCACCTAAACGTTTTCGACAGTATTTACACTTGGCTTTAATCTCCCCATTAAACTTGACCCTCACAAAATGTGGCCAGACATCAGAAGTCAATTTACGATCTTCAGCCAGAATTATTTCAACATTTTCATTCCCAGAACCATTAGCATCATTCCCAGAACCATTACCATTAACATTGCCATTACCATTACCATTACCATTACCATTACCGTTTTGATTAGAAGGCACAGTAGGATCATTCGCATTCAAAGCACAATTTTCAGTAACACCATCCATCTACATAAACAATTAAATAATTGCATTCAATCAATCAACCAAAACTATTAACTACCCAGACAAATCACACAACACACAATACAAATTACAATTGACTAAATCGAGAGTTGAATTGGACCAATAAAAAAGGAAAGTCTTCGATTGGAAGTTACCTGTAATCTGGAGAGGGACTGAGGGAGACTCTGTTCACCAGACTGCAGATGGTGAGCACTGAGCTGATGCCTCGAATGATAGACACAGCTGATGCCTCGAATGCGAAGCTAAACAACTCCCAAACAAAGCCAAAAAAACAAAAGAAAATTAGCATGCATGCATCGAATGATAGACACAGCTCATGAATCTGGAAAAATAATGGGTTAAGTTTGTGCTTACCTCGACTGTGCTCTGAGCAGAGTGCAGGTAATGGGTTTAAGGAAGAAGGCTGACCAGTGACCTGAAATTAATCGAGGGGTTGATTTATATACGAGAAGAAGGAAGAAGGCAAGAAAGTTGCAGCAGAATACGAAAGGAAAAGGGGGAGAAGGAACTTATCTCGCTTGATGTGCGATATCACGTCGATTTCCCCCAATAGCTGCAAATCGAAGATTGCAGCGGGCAATTTAGGGCTCTGCATGCTGTTTCCCGACGAAATTGCCGGCAAAACTAGCATCCAATTGGCCAAATTGAGAGATAATGATTGCCAGTAGGCAATCATAATTGTATAAAGAAGCTGGATTGGGAGGTAATCGTGGGGAACAGAGAGATTTTTGAGCGGATTAGATGTTTGGAGATTCGATGGAGAGAAAGAAGCTAGGGTTTCGGGAGGTTCTCGAAGAGGAAGTTGAGAGGATTAGAGGAATGGGAGCAGTCATTTGGAACGGCGGAGAGTGGAAAATGAGAGATTAGGGTTTGCTGGGCTCGTTTTGTGGTTTATATACGATGTCTAAGCGACGTCGTTTTATGATTCGGGGCGGGGGCGGGGCGGATACCACTAATACCGTCCCCACCCATCGCCCGCGACCCACGGGTTTCGGGTAAATCCGAATCCGCCTATAACCCACAACGGACGGATTTTTAGGGTATAATTCGGGCGGGTTTCGGGTGGATACCCGCTGGGTCGGTCAGGGTTGCCAAGCCTACCCATGACAAGGGGTCCTTAGTCACTTGCCTCAGCCCCTCCTAGCCATTAAATCTGCACACTTCAATCTAATGGTTAAAAAGTGGGAAGGGCTATTTAATTAATGATATGGGTAGTTTGGGTACTATGAAAAATTACGAAGTATACAAACCGGATTTACAATCAGTACAAACCATACGAACAATACAAACTAGAGCGACAAAACATACAAACAGATTCACAAACATTACAAACGTATGAACTCTACAAACAATATAAACTAGACCGACAAACAATACAAACCATACAAAAAGAAAAAACACCCGGGTTGACTTTGGAGGCTCCATCCCTATATAGAGGGGCTCCTTCCCAAAGTCAACCCGGGTGTTTTTTAGACATACAAACATGGTGGACAAAAATGACAAACTAGACCAAAAATTCATACAAACTCGAAAAACACCCGGGTTGACTTTGGAGGCTTCATCCCTATATAGAGGGCTTCTTCTCAAAGTCAACCCGGTTGTTTTTTAGACATACAAACATTACGAACATGGTGGACAAAGATGACAAACTAGACCGACAATCCATACGAACTGGAAAAAACACCCGGGTTGACTTTGGAGACTCCATCCCTATATAGAGGAGGTTCATCCAAAAGTCAAACAGGTTGTTTTTTAGACATAAAAAACATTACAAACATGATTGACAAAAATGATAAACATGGTACACAAAAATAACAAAGTTTACAAACATTACAAAAAAAACCGACAAACATTACAAAATAACAAAGCGTACAAACATTACAAAATAAACGACAAACAGTACAAAGCATACTAACCGTAAAATCTCTCTCTCTCTCTCTCTCTCTCTCTCTCTCTCTCTCGATCGATCGAAATAATGGCATGAGAGCTGGGGAACTCTCCTCCCCAGTAATTGCCCAGGGAGCCACCGTCGAACAACCGGACGGAGACGGGAGGCGGCGGGTTGCTTAAATTTTTTTATTCATTTTATAATTAAATATAAAAAAATAAACATACAATTACTACATTACCCTTCATTAAATTAGATTAATAGGAGCCCTTGGATTTTAATGAAGTTGAGTGGCTGAGATTCACTTAGCCATGTGACTAAGGGGACCCCTTAGTCACATGATCCCGGCCCTTGAGAGAACCGACCCGACCCTCCCGCCCCAAGACGACAATTCCCAGTCCATTAATGACAGGGACAAATAGACGACTAGGTAGGAAATAGAAAAACTGTTGAGAAGAAAGAAAAACATGAGACGATGATACCGGTATTTAGAATTATACTATCAAATTTATTTATATTTGATATTATTGAATACACATTTTATTTTTTAAGATTGAGATTATGATTGAATTTCAATTGTTATTCCGTATTAGCGATTACGAAATTGGGATCGGTATATACCGAAATACCAATCAATACCGAAATATAAATTAGTGTGTATTTTATCATTTAAGTTAAACTCTCTCATTCACTACTACACGACCCGCAACCACCAAGAGTGTCATTTAATTATATATATGGATAATTTCATCACTATTTCTTAACTTAGAAGTTCTCGTCCAACTCAAATTTGACTTTTCAATTTAAGTTACTTTCGTCTCTTATCTAATCTCTTGTTATTTTCATAATACCAAAAGGCAAACAGTAGTATTAGTCGCCTCTCATCCTCCAATTCGTCAAATTAAAGATTACCAATGACAAGAACTTGAGATGTCACCTCTCTTTCATTCGATCTCCTTATCCATATCATAGCTCTAGGCAAACTCAATACTCTTTGTTTAGTCTCTTTGCACTAAATTGAACACTTCAATCTAATTTATATATGTAATTATTAACTGCAAAGGTAATTAATTTCGTATTCAATAATGTCGATTGGGATACGATATATTTAGGGATTGAGATTGAGATCCGAAACTACTTAGAGATTGAGATTGATTTTAGGGTGTAATTCGGGTTGTCAATGGGTCGGATCGGGGACGGATAATGTATATCGACTACCCTACCCAGAGTAGTTCGGGTTTTACCCATACCCACATAAGAAACGGGTAGAAAATCCAAATCATACCCATACCCGTTCGGGTTTCGGGTATCCATGGTAATATTTCTTTTTATAACTCCAACCAATATGTTAATATTCACATGTATTCTCACATTACGAAAAGTACGACAATAATTCCCTAGAATGAAGATAATTAATTAAACCAACACAATTTCATAAAACTATTATATTTATATGCTAAATATAAAATATGTTAGAGAAAAATATTGATTATTTATAGACAAAATACATATCTATAATCGGGCGGGTTCGGTTTGGATAGTGAGAAAACCAAGCCCACCAATTATCAGCAATATTCGGGTTCGGGCGGATATCCACGGTTACGGATATTTTTGTCATCCCTAGGTGTAATTGGTATTCGGGATTTCGGTATTTGGTAGTGGGATACCGATACCGTACCGATTTCCACCCCTAATGATGAAGATGTCAATTGGTTTGTATTGATATGTCATTTAACAAGTGATATGGTTCAATCGAAGAGAACGATTTATTCGCCGATTTTTATCGGTTCAACAAAAATATGAGAAGATGAGAAATCATTAACACCAAATGAATTGTGCATTTATATAATCTATTTTAAGACAATCTATTTATAATTTCCTTCATATTCAAACAAAATAACCCATTACAAATAAAATGACAAATCATCATATTGAAATGCAATATTTAACGTTCAGATAGATTACTTTTTTATTTATTTATAATTTTCCACCCAATATTTAGTATTTACTAGGTTTCATACCGGTGATCCTTCCAACTAGTTTTTATCAAATATACCTATTGAACCTGGTTATACCAACCGGAGTATCGGTGTTTGACAACAGCATTTCATGTTGAGGAATAGCTCCTAATAATAAAAGTGATGTCAGGTCATGGAGTGTCTGCTCTCCCCTCATTTACCTTGTTATTCATGGGAATGGAATTTGTTGGAGTTTTCCTTGTGGCTCGGCCCTCCCTCTTGTCTGTTTATCTTTGGACCGACCCATTCCATCCCTCTCCCTATCAGCGCACAAAACTACAGGGGAGTTATTGTAATGTTAGGTGGCAATTATAGGATATGATGATGAAGAGTGGGACTTCTTTGCTTTTCGCTTGGAAGAGGACATGCATTCACCCTTCTCTTCCAATCGTGTGGTTCAATTTTGGTTCTAATGACAGAATCAAAAATTTGTTGTCATGGTTATTATGAGATATGGGTTTAGATTATTGTAACAAAAAAGTTTCGACGGTGTCACCGTAACTTGCATTTTTAGGTCGATCTCATATAGGATTAGGTCGATCTAATGTGCACTTTAAGGTCGACCTTATATAGGATTAGATCGACCTAATCTGATTTTTAGGTCGACCTTATATATGATTAGGTCGACCTAATATGTCGTTTCAGTTTTGTGAGGTTCAACGAGGTCGACCGCATAATTACGAGGTCAATTGCGTAATTACTAGGTCGACCGCGTGCACACCGTATTCGTATTGGATAATAATTCCAACACCAGAAAGGTAACCCTAACTTATCTACCACTTAATTTGATCCATTCCCGTCCTAAATATCTATAAATACGAATATACGTCACCTTCACCGCCATCGAAACTCTGAATTAGGGTTTTTTTTATGGCTAGAGCTTTTGTGAAGAAGATCCTTTGAGGTTGTTGTTGTACGTTATTCAAGAGGTCGACCACGTGGAAGTTATGAATCATTGTTATCATTATTTATGACGGATTCTGTTGGTTTGAAACGTAATTTGTACGAGTAAAAGAACCACCCACATCGACATATATAAGCAAAAAAGACGCAGGGCATATGTTGATTTTCTTGTATTCGGTCGACCTCGTACCGGATTAGGTCGACCGCGAAACCAACACTTGATTTTCATTGTACGTCAAATGATGATGGATAAATGGATACAACACTTCTCTTCTATCTGGTCGACCTCTTTCTGTAAATGGTCGACCATTTTGTTAATGACCGCCATCAAGTGGTCGACCTATATACCTTTACGGTCGCCCATTTTGCTTCTGACGCTAATGAAAAGGGCGACTGATGTTTACTTGTGATCGACCAACAATGACAACTTAAACTACAAACGGTCGACCACTACATTTTAAAGGTCGACCGTGATAAGTCATCAGGGTGCGCACATTAGTGTATTCGGAAACCTCATAAAACTGAAACGACATATTAGGTCGACCTAATCCTATATGAGGTAGACCTAAAAGTGCAGACTAGGTCGACCTAATCCTAAATGAGGTCGACCTAAAAGTGCAAGTTACGGTGACATGCATGTCATCATAGACATACCCAAAATGTTTATATTCAAGCAGAAGGCTTAAATATACAAGGCAACCACGAGGCGTGTGCTAGCTAGAGTTGTTTGTGGCATTTTGGCCTATTTAGTGGATGCTCGTAAAACTTAAGCACTTAGGCGTCGAGAAATTCACGCATATGAAAATGTCACATGAATTCTATATGTCAGCAGTATTTTTTTAATGCTCAAACAAATATGAGCTTCTAAGATTGACATCAGACAAAAACGTAGGTTATAATGAAAAATCTGCTTATGCGAGATATATAGGTTTTGTCTCTCCACTTGTGGTAATAGTAGCAATATCTCTAGGTTCAATGATGGAGGGGGAAAAGGTTTATGGAATATATGGTCATGTTCGAGTGAAATGATATGATATCATTATCAGTAGTCTACAAAATACTATAAGGGAATGCCAAAATACAGGTTTTGCCACGTCAGCCCCTGCTGTAACCACCTTACAGTGCGAAGGGTGTTTTCCGTCAATTCACTAAGCCTTTTATTTTCCGCATTGTAAGTTTGTAACTTCCAATCTCCCACCGGAAATCTAACCCTTCTCTGTCGTCGTCCCGAGATATTCCGTTTTCCAATCGCTACCGGAACCGAAGACATTCATCTCGCCGCCTTTGTGTTTCTTCGTCCATAGCTCTTGCAGCCGTTCCAATACATTCATTATCCCAATCCCTACCGGAATTAAAGACCTTCCTCCCAAGCCAGCCTGTATATTTTGTCGCCCTGAGCTCCTCGAGTCTACCCAAACACTCAGTCTTCCAATCCCTACCGGAATTTAATTTTGTCACCGAAAACTCCCCATTTCCATCTCAATAGTAGTCCTTAACTAATTCCTCGAGCTTTTCATATCTTGCGGCCGCTTTCGGGTTTTTGTAGAATTGACTTGAATGGGTTGGGGTTTATCTGGGTTCTCACCTGCAATGTTCTTTGTGCGAAGAGCTTTGAGAAAGACCTTTCTCTCACCGTCCAGCCTTTGTGTTTTGTCGCCAAAAAATTATGCAAGAAACCCCTCATTTGCCCTGCTTTGTATGTCTGTGCCTCCGACCTGCAGCCTCTCTCTCTCGCACTTGCCATCTTTACCGCTCCGTAGTCTCTCTCCAGCGTCGTCCTTTACTCAAACAATCCAGGATAACCCTCCTCTCTCTCTTTCGTTGTTTGTCTCTCTAAGCAGCATCTACAAATCTTGGATAGTGCTTAACCGGAGCCATATCCCCTATTAAAAGCTCGCAATCCAGATCCCTATTAAAAGTTGCTAAAATGCCTTCCCCGCCACCTAGAAGTTCCAGCATATTGCAAGCAACGGTGGCTGAGTGCAGTGCATGAAGATTCCTTTCTTCTTCACTTAATTTTCCCCCTCTTCTCTCTTTATTTTATTGAATGAATATATTAAGTTAATCAGATGTGTTGGTTGATTGAACGTGGTGGGTAAATGGTATAAGTGTGGCACCACTGGGGTTGAAGAAATACGATACCCTCTCCTACCTTCCCCCAAATGTCCAAGGAGTCGTTGGCTAACTACTTCGATCAGGATGAATTCCTTGCTTGGAGTTCAAGTTGGAGGTTTGTATCTATCTCTTTGTGATTTTCCTTTTCAATTTTCAAAAGGCTGTAGGCATATATGGCTAACATGTTAGAACTCAAATTTGTGTATATATGCACCACAGTTTGTATTGTGAGAATCACAGAAACTCTGTTGGATTTTCAAGTGTACTATTCACCTAGGCTAGGATGAAGATGGCAATGAATTTTTATGTTCATACTGATCCCTAATCTCTCCCTCCAATTTCATTTCATCCAAAAGAAAACAGTGTTGCTATATCATTATCCCCATCTGCCACTTTCTCATAAGTATCATGGTAAGTTACAATCCATATAGCATTTGGTTCAATTTTTTTGATTGGTGTGAAAGGGAGTACTATTATGCGACCTCATGTGCTTCGAAAGTGTAATGGAATCTTCACTCTATGTATCCTCATCCGATACTTGATTTGTATGTCTATTATATGGATCACTTATGTCCATTCTTAGTCCTCATTTAGATATACCTAATCCTTCATTGATTTAATTTTAGTGAGGAATTTGCAGCACCAGCGATGGTATTGTCCGCAGAGTTAGTGAAATATGTAGAGTTTATTAGTATTGAGTTCTATAGGGTGGATTGAAGCTTTGAATGTTGCTGGTCCCATTGAAATCTTAGCAAACCATACTTTCTTCTTCTTTCCTTATCCACATTTCAGATTTGTTCAACGAAATTTATAGCAAAGTTAAAATCGGTGATTCTTTTTTCATCTTTTGCTCATATGGTACTTATGGGGTAATGTGAACAAAAACACCAGCTAAAGTCGAAGTCAGATGCTTATGGTATGATATTAGCCTTCCAGGTTGAACTTAAAGTGAAATGTGAGTTTGCCAATTTAATCAATTTAAGGTTTCTTGAATATATTGAACATTTGCATTTGGTTTTGATTGATTCAGAGTTAGGCTATAGTCATAATCAACTCAAAAAGAATCTGTCATGGTATTCTGGCTCTAATTTTTGTTGGTTCTTATATTGCTTTCTATGTGTTATTTATAGAGGTCGGATATTTGGCCATAATCACTCTTCTTTTGGTTTCCTATCCTGCTTGAGAGAACAAGAAGTATATGAAATTAGGTTGTTTCAAAGAGTAAACCAATTTGGTTGCTGCAAACTTTGAGGAACCCTGCAATACTAATCCAAGTCTTTGTAAAGAGGAAGAAAATCAAACATTTGATCGACTCTTACACTAAGAAAGAAGAGTAGTATTGCTGGACCTAAGGTCCACTTTATGAACTGTAATTTTAGTACTTTGCAAATGGTTGGTTTTCAGAAAATTCAGACTTACATTGTAAATACTAAATAGTTTCAGCTTTCATGTTTTGGTTATCCTTCTCCATGGACAATTGGAATTTCAGGTTGAAAGTAGCATGAATTTGTGTGTACATAATAATAGCAGCTAAGTTGAGTGTGTTTATAACAACAATAACAACTTGAATTTATGAGTTTATGATGACTGCAGTTCATTTTGGTGTTTAATTTTGTGACGGCGACAAAAACGGTTGAGTAGTAGTTTAGTTAATAAACTTTATGTACATGAATAACACCAGCAGCGCACCGATCAACGGACCGGGCCCAATTGCTAGTTGTCTATAAAGAATTGGTGACGGTGAAAAATGAAAATAATCATCCTTTCCTTCCCGCTAATTTGTACAACCCGCTAGCTCAGGTTTTGCAGGATAATCAACCATCCATCCTCCCTCGCCAACGGCCCACGTTCGGACATGAAATCAAACCCCACTTGGGCTTTGGGGTTCCATTCGAGAGACCACGTCTATCTCCAACTTTCCATTCCTAGCCGAACGCTCCACATATGAACGTGGCGCGCCTTGAACAAGCCAAATCAGCACACCGATGAGTCTCCGGCCACCTCATGCGCCAGGTGTCAACTCAAACTCCCATCTTCACTCGACAAGTGACAATCCCAAACTGCATACAAATAAATAAATAGGGCCAGTTTCCTTCCTCGTGCGACTGAAACGGGACAATAAATTATTATATATAGAAATGGCAGCGGCACAACAAGCCAAATCATCACTGCCGTCGGTGAAAGAGGATCAGGTTACGAGGGCAGGGAGGAACCCGGCAGCTGACCGGACGACGAAACCACCCACGCAAGATCAAGAGGGTACGGCGGCGATTGGGAATTCAGTGATGGTGGATCGTGATTGCGATGGCTACGAGGACGACGGCTCTGGGGACAGAGGGGAGTGTTGCGGCGGAATCAGCCAGCCGGCGGAGCATTTCAAGTGTTGTTCTCACCCTCCGCCTGCGCGCCCGGCTACTTAAATTAATGGTCTGTACTAGTACTGCGTGCGATGTGTGGAGGTGGTGATATAAATAAATAAGCCTTTTCATGGCTTGCTGCTTTCGTAATAATAGTGCGTCTGTTTTCTGTGGTCAAGGATAGGGGGTTTTCAATGTGGTAACCGTTTTAATCAGTACTATTTGGATAGTTTGGTTTGGTTAATTTGGATAATTGGTTTGGTTTGGTTAAAGTTTTTACCTTGTTTGATTTAGGTGGTTTGGTTTGGGGTCAGACACTCCTAACCAGTCAAACCAAATTAACCAGATAAATAATTAGGCATATATCTAATATATACACATACTTAATACTTTGAATAACCACTCAAGAGTTAAACGTTCATTCTTTTAGACTCATAAAATAGAAAGCTTGATATTGCTCCTATAATGTATATTTGTATATGTAGAGTGTAGACCACAACATATGAACGCCTAATTTAGATAAATCTCATACATTATGTTGGATGAAAACTTGAAAGCAAGGTCCTTTTCAGCCTATGAAAATTGCTAAAAGACTAAGTCAATTCAAATAAGCACAACAATTCATTAACCCATACCATTGTGATAAATTTTTGCTAGGTGAATACTTCTATACTAACCGTAAGATAATTGTCTTAGTTGCATGTATTTATGTTAAGGGTCAACTATAACTATGTATTGATTGTTATGTTTTATTCATTATATAAATTTTGAATTGATAAATTAACCAAAATATATCTCACTTAATGATAATATGATTTTATATGTTAATCTCGTTAACCAATTAATCAAACCGATTAAACTTTAGTTTGGTTAATTTGGTTGTTGTATTAGTTTGGACGGTTTGGTTATGATATTGTATTTCATGGTTAATGAAATTTAGTCTTATTTGATTTGGTAATAACCATGGTAACCATTTGAACACCCCTAGTCAAGGATGTTGTAGTCATTAATCTTTGTTTATAAAATACCAACCACTATTATACACTGCTTCTAAGTTATCTTATTTGTACGCGCACACACCGTAATATTCGTATATACAACCAGGAGTTTGGTCTACTTGTAATACGATTTCTTAAGTAGTATCTAAACAACAACAAAACAAAACTTATATCATTCTTATAAAAAAATGCTTATATTGTACATCTAGGCAATGGCGTTATACGGTGTGATTTGCATCATCAATTCATTTGAGATTTCTGTATATCATTATTTTCATATGTAACAGGATCTCTAAATTTAAATCGTAAAATGAATTTGATTTAATCGAAAATAAGAAATAATAATCGATGCTTTCGATTTTTCGCAGTATATATTGAAGTAAGTTCACTCTCATGGTTACTATCTACACATTGTGGTTTACCATTCAGTGGCATGGTTACCATTCATGTAATCAAATACCGAGACCATCTAGTTAATAAATGCCTACCAAATTCGGATGTAACAAATTCTAAGAGCTGTATAGGAATTTCTCTTCAAAATTATAATTCTGAATGCCAGCCTATACCTCATTTCTCGTCAAACATCAGAGTAATTGCCGAAAAGATGATATGTTAAAGTTAGGAGACGTAAAAACTATTGATGATAGAATAATAGTTTATACCAAATCAGCACACCGATGAGTCTCCCTTCCGTTGCGGGAGAATCAGAACTCCTTAAGAGCAAAAGCCAAGTCTGCTCCTTTGTTGGTGAGATTACCCTGGATGTTTGGCGGCGTTGGTGAAGGCGCTGCTTGCGAGGACATCTCCAGATTTTGTTGGATAAGCGGGAGAAGGATGATTCATCTTTGTGAGAGCGTCTGTGGCAGCTGCATGGTTCCAATTTCAAAGTGGAATGATATGCATTATAGAAGAGAAGAAGTTGTACTTGATTGAAAATTCCATGTCTGATAAGCGTGCTGCCACATCAGCTGAAGTTGAGAGTGATGAGTGTAAAGGTCCTGTTGTGTATAGGGGTTATAAAACCTGCCCTGACACAACATCTAGGGAAGCATTTTCCGTCCTTTTTAATTGTGGGTTTCTTAGAACGCCCCTTTTATTTCTTAATACTTTTACTGAAAGAGCTTGCAATTGATTTTCCTTTTTTTTTTTTGTGGTTACCTACCATCAAAATGATCTGTTTAACTTTTGTGAATGTTAGCTCAATTGCTCACTACATGTTGAGTAGTTTTGTGAGAGATTTTATTCAAATTATAGTTAATCACAACATGTTTTAAACTTTCTGTCAGTGATTGTAGAATTACATCAATAGTTAAGTAATTTTACATCAGAAATAGTAGGTTTTCCGATGTCTCGAAATACCCGATCATTTTGAGTACATGAGGACTAACCGGAGTACCCTCAATCCTTATGAATCTAGAAGTTACATACCTCTCATGCCTCACTTGTTTTGGGAATAACAGTTTCACATGTTCAATCATATTGAACGCAAACATTTCATTTCTGGAAATCTGGTTACCGTCATTAACAACATAAGATAACTCACATTTAAGTTATAATCTAGAAGCTTTTATATGCATCTCTCTTCACTTTAGGTGATGTGGCAGCGAGCTCATCAAATATGAGCATTCAAGCGGATAAAACTTGTTTTTCTTGCTTTAGTTATATCATTGGGCTTCAAACTAGTTTAACAAATTGGCACCATTAAACTTCTCCTTTCTAAAGGATGTTTCGCAGTGAATTATGTTGTTTTGTTTTCGAGTAGCTCATATTTTTCTCTGTAACAAAAGAAACATGGTTCTGGTGTCATGATTCTATTTTATTTAAATAGAACTTTTATTAAATGATACTCATACTATTTTCTTCAAGATGATAACCCTGAAGATATTGTTTTAGGATAACTATTATCTTACTGAGTTGATATTAATCAGACTATTACTTTGTTGATTGTTCAAATCATTATAAAATTCTTAAATCATCAAAACTTGCATAAATGCATCTCATGTATATATCTCGAGCAATATCCGAATTTCTATTAGGCTTAAGGGACCAATATGGCCTAAATGTCAACCATCAAATTATTGTATGACACGAAGTAGCCGAGTTTTAGAGTGAAATTATCTCATATCATCGGAATTCTTCACATCTTCGAAAATAAGAAAGGGATTTAGATTTTAGTATATAACTGTCACCACTCATTAATGGTTTGACGAGGAGTGATATTTTAAGGCATTTTGAGAGTGATCATCATACGTTACTTAAAATTTGTCAATATATAATGTCTTAATCCAATACGACTCGATTTCTTAAAATATTAGGAGATGTGACTGAGAATCGAGAGCGAATGTCTTTTGTTGTTAAAAAAAGCTTCATTGACACCTGCATTTTCATTCATGGAATTGGTTGCCTTACGATATTTTTGTTCTTTACTTTTGAAAATATAGACTTACGCATTTGAGTTTGGCATCTTATGTGGCACAATTACTTGGGAGCGAATGAGATTGTAATACCTCTTAGTGTTAGTACCATGCTAATATAAATCATTAAAAATAATATAGTAAGTAGTAACTACCCACTCATAAAAGCTTCTTCCTCCGACCCCTTTCTTCTATTGCTCTTTTCCTCCCATTGTCCAATCCATTTTCCACTTTTCTCTTTGCAAGCAAACGTTTCTGAGTTGATTGACCCAGTTGCTAGAACATGGAAATGACCTCTACTGCAAAGGAACTTTAATCCCACAGACAGAGAACGCATCTCTCAAATACCATTAACAAGAACCCCGACAGAGGACAGATTGGTTTGGGGACTCAAAAAAAGTGGCATATATAATGTGAAGTCAACATACCACAACTCATTTCATTCTCAACGAAACCAAGATGGTGAACCATAAGTCCCTGTGATGTGGGGGAAGCTCTGGAGTTTGCGATTACCACCTAAGGTCAAGTTTTTTGGATGGAAATGAGGCAACAACATACTTCCAACTGGGGTCAATTTGAGTAAAAGGCTAAAAGATTTTCATGAGGGGTGCCCTTTTTGTGGATTAAGCAAAACCCAGGAACATATCCTATAAGGGATTGTGAATGGGTAAGCAGAATTCGGCGTCGGAGCTCTCTCAAGAAATGGTTCGAATTAGGGGGTGGGAAAAGCAGTGAAGAATGGCTCTATGAGTTACAAGAACAAGTAGATGAAGACGAATTTAGCAAATTTCTCATCGTCCTAGGGTACTTCTGGAAGGAACGAAATAATCAGATGTTCAACAACACTAAGCTTGAGGACGGGGAAATCATTGCAAGAGCAAAATGTTATCTCTAGGAATACCTGAATGCACAAGAGCAAAGGGACGAAACAATTCAAACCAGAAGAGACTGTCGGTGTGAATATGGTGTGCTTGCATATATTTCGGTTTTTTTGTCTGCTTCATGTGAATTATGGTGTGCTTGTATATATTTATAGGATGCTTTGTGAGATTTTCGATCGGCTTCAAAAAACTTGTGATAATGTTTTATGAGTTTCTAGTATGTTTTACGGAATTTGTGATCTGCTTTGTGAGGGTTCAATTTTTTATCTTTTTATTGTATATTATGAATTTTGCGACGGTGTGATGTGTTTTGTTCTGCTTTATAAGTTTTTTGTTCTATTTTATTTTATTTTATTTTATTTGTAGTGTAGCTTGTCGTACTTTTTGTTTGTGGTTTGCTTCATGATAGTTGTAGCGAGGACGTGACGAAAAATAAATTGGCAGTGCTTCACGCGTGTTTACTTTTATAATGATATTTAAAAATGACTAGCGCACCCCTTCATTTAGAAATACTTAACCCTTAGAAATAAAAAAGTATCAAGATAAAATGTTTCAATAAGCTGAATTGAATGTCAGCACTATGCTAATAAACTGAGTGTCACCATCCTCACTATCCAATTACTTTCTCACCGTTATTATGCATTAATGGCTAACTCATGGGGACTGGTTTGGTTACCTAACATGTGTTAGTTGGATAAGGTATGGGTTGGGACTGCATATTAAAAATGGACTAAACTGCAAGTTTGGTCACTGAAATTATATAAAAAGTTTACGTTTGTCACTAGAATTAATTTATTCTATCCGTAGTCACTTAAGTTAGTTCAACAGTTTAAGTTTGGT